TTCTGGTAAACTGGTGGAGACTCTAATCAGTTTAACCTTTTTTTTTTTTTTTTTTTTGTCCTTGGAGTGTCCGAAGAATATCACATATGTCCCATCCTGGGGGTGCTAGCTTGTTTGCCTTCAGCCTGACTCATGTTTCCTCATCTAAAGGAGGGACACAGACTCAGAGCACAGTAAAGCGAGGTTTTAATCTATATTCTCGCAAGAGCAGGAGTCTGATGGACAGGCACTTGGGGACGGTTACAACAGACAATTTATTTCCTGGTGTGCAAGTCCCTCCCCTGATTTCTCACTGACTGAGTACTAGAGAGGGTACAGCCTTACCTGAAAGTCACCGATACTCACATAAGGCGAAAAGTACTTTGATTGGAACAAATGCACATTCCTTGAGGTGGCGCAGAGACTTCAGTTTCTAAGGGTTTGGGACTCCACTGTGGGAGAGAGGGGTTTGTACATATTTCCAAGAGGTTGTAAACCTATTGTTAACTAGACAGCACAGCTTTTATTTGGTCCTTCTGAAAATGAATCGTCTCACCTCTCACAGGGCCACAACAGCTCCACGGCCAGATACTTAGAATAACACCTGGGCCTTCCGCATTGCACCCTCCTAGGGGACCATCATCAAATGCAGGTCCAGGGATCAATATCTCAGCTGTAATCAACTGGGACACTGGCAAAAAGATTGTTCTCAAAACCTTTGAGGTTAAATTCTTTAACATCCGCTTCAATCTCTCTTTATCTATGCTGGAAGGAGGGCTCTTCCCAAAGTTGATGGGACTCTGAGGGATTTTTCTGATAAGCTGCTACATTATTTCCTTAAACAGCCAAAGGGAAACTGAGGTAAAAATTAATGACTATGCAATACTGCCAGAAATATTTACTGCTTGTGCCTACTGAAACGTGACAAGAAATCTGGAAGGATTTAACAACTCTATGATCAGGAATTTGGTCAAATTGGAAGCTAATATACAGAGCCTGATAGGAATTTTTAGAAGGCCTTCTCTCTGAAGCTCAATGTATCCAGCGGGAAGAGAAAACACTCTAACATAGGTGAATATATTAGTCCTTGATATCATTAGATGGCAACACAGTTCTTTGAGGAATTAAAGAAAGCTGTCCTTTTTTTTTTTTTTTTATCTTGACAAACCCAGTCTTTACCGGATAACAGGTGCAATTCTAGAAACATTTCAAAGTCCATCTATCCTTTTTACCAACCCCCAAACCTCCCCTATTATCTGAAAAGATGTGTAGGAACTTTTTTTTTTTCCTGTGCCTTTGTGATGTAATGTTCTGCTGGGACCTTATCCAGAACTCTTATCAGGATCATCTCTTTGATAAGCAAACTTCAGGGAGGTAATTCCTACCAAAAGAAAAAACAAAGGAGGGAAGGGTCATTTGGAACTTGACTTGGCAAGGACAAATAACTATCTTCGGTGTCTATTCCACCAATACTAATACAAAAAGCTGGAGGACGCAGTGGTAGGGGGGAGGGGGGGAGACAGCAAGCAGGGGCCGCCAGCGCCGGGACTGGATGCCAGGTCCCTAAGTAGTTTGTCATATGCTTCACGTGCAGCATTTTCTTCTCTGTCTTTGAAACTGGATTACTGCGGCTTCCCGGTGGCACAAAGCTTTTTGCAGTGTTTTATACCCTTGGAAATATTATTGCATTAGCCAGTACCTGCTTTCTAATGGGACCCAGGAAGCAACTGAAGAAAAAGTTTGAAACCATAAGATTGCTTGCAACTATCACTATGCTTTTGGGCTTCATAGTTACCTTGCGTGGCATAAGACCGACTGGCCTTATTATTCTGCATATTGCGGTTCTTGTCAATGACTTCGTATAGCCTTTGTATGTCCTATAAGCAAGGGATGCAGTAATTAAATGCTGTTCTCTTAAGCTGAAAATCAGGAACTCTTTGAAAAGAGCCTTGGAAAGTTGATGTTCTGTTTTTGGTGAAGTATGCTTTTCCTGATACAGTGATCACTCCCAAAACGATTGCTGTGACATGCTAAGACCATTTTGTGTACTGTTGAAACTAAATGCTTGATTAAACTGTTAAATAACTGTAATGTGGACAAAAATACAAAAAGCTATAATCATCTGAGCAGGTAAACTTAATCTATTCTATCTACCAATTTAGATCCGATTCTTTTGTTAAGTAGTGAGTTTTGTATTAGTGTACCTAGGCACCCCAATAGGTGGTATTTTCTACCTCCAGATGGTATTCCCAAAATTAATCTGTAAAAGAGCTCTATTTAGTCGGCTTAAAGAAATTTAAGTGCTTATATAAATTGAATTCTCAAAACTATGAGAGGCTCCTAGGTGGTTCAGTCGGTTAAGCCTCTGACTCTTGATTTCAGCATAGGCAATGATCTCATGATTCGTGAGTTCGAGTGCTATGTCAGGCTCTGCACTGACAGTGTGGAGCCTGCTTGGGCTTCTCTCTCTCTCTCTCTCTCTCTCTCTCTCTCTTTCTCTCTCTCTCTGCCCCTTCACAACTCAGTCTCTCAGTCTTTCTCAAGAATAAATAAACAAACATAGAAAATATATGGTAGAACTAACCCTAATGGATTTCAGATTCACATGATCTGGGAAAATATTCAATATTAAAGCTAGTTCTATTTTGTTGGTTTAATTAAAACAGTGTGTCTTCGGGGCACCTGGGTGGCTCAGTTGGTTAAGCATCCGACTTTGGCTCAGGCCGTGATCTCACAGTCCTGCTTCAGATTCTGGGTCTCCCTCTCTCTCTGTCCCACTTACAACTGTGCTCTTTCTCTATCTCTCAAAAATGAATAAACATTAAAAAACATTTAGGGGGTCTTGGGTGGCTCATTCATTTAAGCATCTGATTTCAGCTCAGGTCATGATCTCATGGTTTGTGAGTTCGAGCCCCATGTTGGGCTCTGTGCTGACAGCTCAGAGTCTGGAGCCTGCTTCAGATTCTGTGTCTCCCTCTGTCTCTGCATCCTCCCCTGCTCTCTTCCTCTCTCTCCCTCTTTCTCTCTCTCTCTCTCTTTTTCTCACACTCTCTTTCTTTCTCGTGCTGTCTCTCAAAAATAAATAATAATAAAACATTAAAATATTAAAAAATTTTTAAAGGTGTGTCTTTACAGTTAGTGCTAGAGTACTTTTATTCTACATAGGCTTACTAAAAAGTCTGTTAACCTTAAAAATAGACATTGCCAGTTATTTTAACAGCAGAAGATGGATTTATTTGGGGAAGAAAATAAGAATTACAGTATGGGACAAAAATGCTACAGCAAAACCATAGGCCAAGTCCAGGGAAAGAAGAGCAGGCATGCATTTTGAGGACAGAAGGGCTAAGTTGGGAAGGCTGTTTATGAACTAAAAGTCCATTGGTGTAAACCGGAGTTTACAGTTTGGTAGCTTCACACTGGCAGAAATGTTGCCTAGGGGTGTGAGGAAAATTTCTCATGCTCTGGCTGGAGTAGTAGAGTAGCTTCTATGTGCAAGGTCAAGTCCATGTAAGGTCAAGCCCATCTCTCCCTATTGGGTCTGCAATTAACTGAGTGGTAGTGTATGAGAGCTTCCCGTGCCCAAACCTCAGGACTTCATGTTAATGGCTTTCTTTTTCTTTTTTCTTTTTTTTACAGTGTTTATTTTTGAGAGAGTGCAAGTGGGGCAGGAGGGGGGTGGAGGGGAAGGTGTTCGAAAGGGGACAGAAGATCCAAAGCAGGCTTTGTGCTGACAGCAGGGGGCCCAATATGGGGCTCAAACTCAGTAACCAAGAGATCATGACCTGAGCTGAAGTTGGGCACTCTACTGACTGAGCCCCTTTAATGACTTTCCATTACCAATTTTCACAGGTCAGGTAAGTTCATGGTATCTCTGTTACAAAAACTGTTAGCAAGAAAATTAGCTTGAGATGATGGCTGACTTTGCCTAATGTCTCATAAAGTTTTTGTGAGTAGTCTGAACATAATTGTTGGGAGGGAATGATTTAGGTAGATGTAAGTGGGATAAGAATTTTTTGTTGGAATCATTAAGTTTATGGTATATGTCTTTAAAAATAGCTTCCAAAAATCTTTGTGTAGGGTGTCCCAATCAGATGGGGATCATCCCAACTGGTTGGGGGCCGGTGGCAGGGGCAGTTAAAGAATTCACCCAAGGCAGAAAAATGGAGAAGTTTATAGAATACATTGCAAGGGAGCCATGGGCAAGACAGCAAAGGAGAGACTGAGTGTCACAGGGCAGTCGTGTAGTCGTGAGAGGCCACAGTACAGGGGAGATGAGGATGTACCAGAACTTACAGGATTTTCCCTTATTTGGTAATCTTAGGAACTGTGCCTTGTTGTAACTGGTCAGGTAGAGCCTATGGCACTTTCGAGGTGGGTTGCTTAATAAGCCTATTGATATCCAGCTGGATGGTCACTGTGGGCTTATTCTGGTTTGCATTGCTAAAGCCTATTGCCTAAAAGTGACCCCTATATCTTAGTAACTTGAAACCTTTGAGTGCTGGTAGCCGCACTGGCCTCTCTGGATGGCAGTCACAGCAAGGAAATGGCAGTGTTTGAACAGCTCATGCCATGAGAAACAAAAACTGGTATCTCCTTCTGCTACTACTGGCTCATGTTGGAAATGAGCCTGCTGGTATTGACCAGGCCTCACAATATGCCATATCAGACCCATATTCTGAACACAGATACCTCATAAGGAAAAAGGTATTCCTGCCTTTACAAAAGAGATTTTAGATAAAAGACAGAATGATTCCTAGCTTATCTATATACACCTTAACCTAGATATTACCCTGTTTTTCACTAAGAGCATCCTGTTATTTCCTTGGTTGTAAATTCACTCAACCTCACTATGACTGGGATAATTCTGCAGAATATCAAAAATTTGTTATCGCAAAAGTCTTCCCATTGTAAAAATTCCTTTCTCTGACCTCATGTTGTTCTTGAACCTTTAAATAAAGACACCAAAACCGACAGGATGGAGATGCCTGCCTGGTGATCAGAAAGAATCTCGGGGCTCTCTCACTCTCTCTCTCACCAACACCGTCCATCCTTCAGGGACCCCTGGACCTGCCGAAACAGGCCTCCAACAAGTGGCGCCCAAACAGGGACCTGAAGGTAAACTCTTTAAACTATGTTGTTTTCATTGCATTAGTCAGGACGGTTAGGATTCCACCGTAGAGTGCCGCGGACCCCCTGCATAAGATAAGTAGGGTTAGTTGGTGGGTAAGCAAAGAACTGTTTTTTGAGAAGGTATGGGCCATAAAGAGTCTAAGGAAAGGAGGCTCTTTATAGATGTGATACAGAATGTGTTTACAAAAAAAGGGGTAAAGGTATCCTCTCAACAAATTGCTCGGTTTTTACATTTTGTTAAAAAACTGTCCCCCTGGGTCCCTGAGGAAGGAACTGTTAATATAGATACCTGGAATAAAGTTGGGGACGATATTAGACAATGTCCTCAAAAAATCCTGGTCGAAATTCTCTCTCTATTGACCATTATAAAGGGGGCATTAGACACCTCAAAAGAGACTTCCGGAGTCTTCAAGCCCAGCGCCCCCAAAATGATAATAAAGTGGACTCAGGGACTGTCCCCGATTCCACCACTATGAAGGTTTCAATTTTTTTTTTTAATGTTTTATTTATTTCTAGGAGAGAGACAGAGAGAGAGACAGCGCAAGCAGGGGAGGGTCAGAGAGAGAGGGAGTCACAGACTGAAACAGGCTCCAGGCTCTGAGCTGGCAGTCAGCACAGAGCCCGACACGGGGCTCGAACCCACGAACCGCGAGATCATGACCTAAGTGAAAGTCGGACGCTTAACCGACTAAGCCACCCAGGCGCCCCTGAAGGTTTCAAATTTAACATCAAACAATTGGGCTTTCCCTGTTCAGACTACAGGGACTTTCCCTCCATCTGGGCCGCTTCCTCCCATGCCACATTCAAAAGGAGTGGGGCTCAAAGCCGCCGTTAGGGGGGCGGAAAAGGAGGGAGATACAGATTTTGTGTGCTGCTTCCCCGTTGCTCTTGGGGGAGAATTTGATGAGGACCCTTCTTGGGAACCTCTTCCCTATAAGATTATTAAGGAACTAAAAACTGCCTGTACCGAATATGGGCCACTTGCACCCTACACACTTACATTGCTAGAAACCCTAATATCTCGCTGGATGACACCGTATGACCGGATTCAGGTCGCAAAAGCCTGTCTGTCAGGAGGCCAATATCTGCTATGGAAAGCGGAATATGATGACCTCGCTAGAAAAAGAGCAGCCATAAATAAAAGGACAAATAGGAGAGACATTACCCTCGATAAACTCCTAGGCAAGGGTGATTTTGACACTGCTCAAGATCAAATGTATCTTAACAAGGTCACCTTACAGCAGACACTGATTGTGCCTTTAACGCATGGAGAGCTTTGCCAATTGCAACAGGCAGGGCTGCTACCTTGGGAGAAATCCGACAACGATAGGATGAAAGCTATGAGGATTTTGTGTCTAGACTCATACAAGTTGTTAGAAGAGTGATAACTAACAATGAGGCAGTGGACATTCTCATTAAACAACTAGCATTGGAAAATGCCTATTCTACCTGCCAGTCTTTATTACGACCCATAAGAAAAACGGGTACCTTAACTGATTATGTCAAACAATGTGCAGATGTAAGTCCTACCTTTATCCAGGGCGTGGCTATCGCAGCAGCTTCAAAGGGAGAAACATACCCTCAATATGTCAGGTCCTTAGGGCAGTCAGGAGGTATAAGAGTGAAAAACCTTCCTCAAGGTCTAATTGCTATTCTTGTGGGCAAGTGGGACATTTCAGTAGGGATTGCCTTACAAAAAAGGCAACTACCTCTCTGCCAACCGCACCTGTTCCCCAGGTGATAAACAATGACAACAGGCCCAGGACTATATGCCCTAGGTGTCAAAAGGGTTTTCATTGGGCCAAAGAATGTAAATCTAAATTTCACAAAAATGGCCAACCACTGGGAACCCGTCTTCAAAAATCTCAGGACCAGGGAAGTGGATTGAGGGGACAGCCCGAGGCCCCCGCCATGAATTTGGGCAACATCCCTAGCCCGTTCAATCTGTTCATAAATTCTAGTCAGTCTCTGAGCTCTATAGAGCAACCCCAGGCAGCGCAGGACTGGACCTCCGTTCCACCACCAGCACAATACTAACCCCTGATTCACCTCCTATAACTATTCCTACCGGTGTAAAGGGGCCCCTGCCTCCTGGGGTAGTGGGACTAATTTTGGGACGGAGCTCCATCTCCCTTCAGGGGATCACCATAATCCCTGGGGTGGTTGACGCTGATTATCAGGGAGCGATCAAGGTGCTGGTCTCTCCTCCTTCTTCCACCAAGCAAATTTTTAAAGATCAGAGAATTGCCCAGTTATTATTGTTGCCTTATTATCACATAGGAAAGGATCCCACTGATGCTCCCAGAGGAGAAGGAGGATATGGCTCTAGCGATAAGGCCTTTTGGATACAGAAGATTAAAGCCTCAAGGCCCACTGAAGTATTGCAGTTTCAGGGAGTTCCTATTCAAGGACTTCTAGGCACCGGAGCAGATGTCTCCTGCATTGCTGGAAAAGACTGGCTCTCAGCTTGGCCAACTTAGAAAGCTCCTGCTACTCTTATGGGTATAGGAAAGGCTTCTAATGTGGCAAAAAGCTCTCAAATCCTAAAATGGTCAGATGAGGAGCACAATTCAGGAACTTTTTGTCCTTATGTTATTCCTTCCATCCCTTTTTCTTTATGGGGACGAGACATTTTATCCCAAATGGGAATGTTAATTTACACCCCAGATGACAAGGTCACTAATCAGATGTTACAAATGTGGCTTCTTCCCAACAAAAGTTTGGACCAAAAACAACAGGGTATAGCTCTCGTAAATTTAGAACCCAAATTGGATAAAAGGGAGATTGGCTATCCAAGATCTGAGGGCAATAAATGCTACTATGAAAAGTATGGGCTCTTTGCAACCAGGACTCCCATCCCCTGTGGCAGTGCCAAAAGGCTTTCAAATAATTGTGATAGACTTACAAGATTGTTTTTTCAACATTCCCCTTTACCATGAGGATTGCCAGAGGTTTGCTTTTAGCCTGCCTTCTGAAAATTTTAAGCAGCCTTATCAGAGGTATCAATGGAAGGTCCTTCCACAGGGAATGAAAAATAGCCCTACACATTGCCAAAAATATGTAAATCTGGCCCTGGAACCAATCAGACAGGCTTACAACAGCCTCTACCTTATTCATTATATGGATGACATACTTCTGGCTCACCCTGATTGAATTATATTGCAAGAAATCCTAATAAAAACTGTAGCTTCCTTACAGCAATTGAGTCTAACAATAGCTCCAGATAAGATTCAAGTGGAACCGCCCTTTAATTACCTGGGCAGAGTGCTTAACACTCAAACAGTGACCCATCAACCTTTACAGCTAAGAAAGGACCATTTGGTTACCTTCAGTGATTTTCAAAAACTCTTAGGGGACATTAATTGGATTCGGCCCTATTTAAAACTTACCACTTCAGATTTAAGGCCACTTTTTAACATCCTTCAAGGAGATCCCGATCCAAAATCATTGCGGAGTCTCACCAAGGAAGCTGAACAGGCCTTGCATAAAGTCGAAGAGGCCATAAATAATCAAACCTTATCCTGGGTGGATTATCAAAACCCTTGGTCCTTAATTCTTCTACCCACCAAACACTCCCCTACAGGATGTCTTTGGCAGGATGGGCCCTTAGAATGGATTCATCTCCCAGCTGCTCCAAAAAGGGTTGTTATGTCATACCCTGCCTTAGTGGCCACCTTTATGACCAAGGGACATAAGTGAAGTAAAGAATTGTTTGGTCAAGATGTGGCCCTTGTGATTGTTCCTTACACTAGAGACCAATTAAACAACTTATTACAAAACAGTGAGGATTGGCAAATTGCTATAAAGGGATTTATGGGAGAAATTGGGTTTCACCTCCCTAATAATCCAATTCTTCATTTTCTTAAGGTTCATCCTTTATATTCCCAAACAACACTAGATATGAACCTTTACCTCAGCCAGCCGCTATGGTTTTTCAGATGGTTCCTATAACGGGAAAGCTGTTACTATTATTGATGGTCATTCCCATGTGCAAGTCACCAAAGAAACTCCTGCTCAACGAGCTGAATTAATGGCAGTCATTTATGCTTTTTCCCATTTGACTAAGGTTCCCTTTAACTTGTATACTGATTCACGTTATATATCAGGGTTGTTTCCCCACATTGAAACAGTCTCTCTTCCCAAATTTCGATCCACAATTCTTCCTCTGCTTAAGGAACTTCAAACACTCATACACACCTTCGTACCCAGCCTTTTTTCATTGGGCATATTAGAGCTCATAGTAATTTGCCAGGCCCCTTAAGTCATCAGGCAGATTCACTTACTAAATTTGCTATTTTTTCAGCATTAGAAGAAGCCCGCTTATCCAATAAATTACACCACCAAAATGCCTCTGCACTCAGGCTTCAATTTAATATATCTAGGGAAGCTGCTAGAGAAGTAGTCCGCTCCTGTAAGCAATGTCCTACTCACTTTCCAGGCCCACCCTCTAGGGTCAACCCAAGAGGTTTAAGACCCAATGATTTATGGCAAATGGATGTTACCCACGTACCATCCTTTGGAAAACTTTGTTATGTTCATGTATGTGTTGATACATTCTCTCATGTCATCGTTGCTTTTGCCCATACAGGCGAAGCTTACAAAGATGTAGTTCAACATCTTTTCTTTAGTTTTTCCTATTTGGGCCTTCCAAAAACTATCAAAACTGACAATGCACCAGCTTACACTTCTGCCACCTTCAAAAGGTTTACTCAAACTTTCAAGATTTCTCATACCACAGGAATTCCTTACAATCCCCAAGGGCAAGGAATTGTTGAGAGAGCACATCAAACCCTAAAGGCTCAAATTTATAAATTACAAGAAGGAGAGTTTAAGTACAGCTCTCCACATCACATTCTCTCTCATGCTCTTTTTGTCATTAATAACCTAAATATGGATCTTACCAATTGTACCAATATGTGTAAACATTGGAATCCAACTCTAGATAAACCTAAGACCTTGGTGAGATGGAAAGCTTTACTCTCTGGCCAATGGAAAGGACCCGATGCTGTACTAACAAGGGGACGAGGGTGTGTTTGTGTCTATCCACAGGACACAGACTCCCCCTTGTGGAATCCAGATCGTTTAGTGCGACGCTATGTGGAGCCTTCCGACTCCTCCCTCGACTCCAGCGCCTCCCCCACCATATCAACCTCAACCTCGGACTCGCAACCCAGGAAGAATGCAGAGAAACCATCATATCCTCAACCCCCTGCCTCCTATGGGTCCACGCAGGATAACAACACTCACTGAGACCATGAGTGAACTCTCCTTGCAGGAGGAACGACCCCGTCGCCGCCGCCACCTCGCCCGATCTATGCGGATCTCCACTCGTCATACTTGGGGACAATTAAAAACCCTGACAGATGAGGCTATTACCCTTGTTGAAACTCAGGGAAACTCAGTTACTCCAGCTACGCTGTTTGTAGCCCTTCTTGCACTATTGTCTTCTCAGGCCAGTTCGGGTTATGCCCTTAAACAACAATATTGGACTTATATCCCAAACCCTCCTATGTTAAGGCCTGTAACTTGGGATAATGAGCCTATTTCTGTTTTCACTAACAATCCAGATCTACTCGGTGGCAGCTCAGATGAGTTCCTGAGGCCTCAAATCAATCCTGATTTCTCCTATGTTGGAAAATCCAGTTCCCCTCCCATATGTTTTTCTTATGGTCAGAGTCTTAAGGGATGCCTTCCCGTCTCCCATAAAGGCCTACTGACTGATTCTCCAACTGAAGTTAAAGGAAGGCGGGAATTTTGGTCTATATTTATGTTGACTCCGGGGAGTAGAGACCCTGTTACTGATGATAAACAGTCTATTCCTAAAAAATTCAGTCGCTGCAACAAGCCACCTCCTTTCCAGACTCATCCTAACGATAATTCAAATGACAATGTCTGGACACTCATTGATGTTAACTAGGGTTATCCTCATTGGTGGTCTTGTATGTATCCTATGCGAATAAGTTACTATTTGACACACACAAAACAAATAATAAATGATTAGTCTAATCCCATGCCCTCTGCTGACTATAGGCATTCACTCAAGAGCTTGCCCAAATACTCTTGGTCAGATACCCTTATACCTAAACCCTTATCAGTTAACAGATGGCATACTAATGGATGGGTCCCTCCTATGCTAACAATGACTATTGATGGCAATCTCTTTAAGCAAACTGACATTTGGCAGCTCGTGGCTGCAATGCGTCACATTATATTGACTCGCCCATATGGCCCCACATATTATGCTGTCACTGCCTGTGTTCAAGCGCCATATGCCCTCCTGTATTCTAGCATGACCCATGGAAAGTTTGCTATTGAATCAAAAAAGGATCAAAGCTATTATATTACATGTACAGGATGTGTTCTAACTAACTGCATTTCTTCTGATAATGGAATTAAGTTTTTAATGATATTAAGACAACCTCCTTACATTATGCTCCCTGTAGAACTAAATATCCCTTGGTATGATGATTATGGATTGCAGGTCTTACAAGAGATCAATTATGCTCTCATACGCCCAAAGCGATTCATTGGAGCTCTAATATTGGGCATTACCGCACTGATTGCCATCATAGGGTCTATGGCTGCTTCCACTGTCTCCCTTGTCCAGGATATACATACAGCCCAACACGTTGACCAATTAACTAGAAATGTCTCTTTTGCATTGGCCACTCAAGAAATAATTGACAGGAAATTGGATACTAAGCTTAATGCCTTAGAAGAGGCAGTACTGTTTATCGGAAATGAATTAAGTTTTCTAAAATCTCGTTTGGCTCTTCGATGTCACAAGGAGTATAGTTGGATCTGTGTTACTCCCCTCCAACATAATGATACCATTCACACTTGGGAGAATATCCAAAATCACCTACTTGGTATTTGGAATCATTCTAATTTTAGCATTGATGTCCAAACCCTTCATGAACAGATTCAGGCTATTAATGCATCCTCTACCTTTGTCTCTCCTTCACAGGTTGCAACCTCCTTTTTACAAGGACTACAAAATTTCATTAGCGCTCAGGGACTAAATTTACTCCTGACAAATATTGGCATGGTGGCTGGAGTGTTAGTGCTCATATTGTGCCTTGTTCCCTGTTTCTTCAAAATAACTAATCGAGGCTTTCACAGAGAAAACGTTGAGCTGCACAACCTTCATTTACAAAATAAGAAAGGGGGAGAGATGTTGGGAGCCCTTCCGAACTCATAAGTTGAGAATACTCCTTGTGAGGTTAAGGCAAGTTTGCATGGTCTCTTGCCTTCAGATGGTGACCGATATCCACCCCCACTCAATTATTTCTGCTTGAGCACTGACCCCCAAGGTACCTTGTTAATCGATATCGGAAGTAACTGTCCCCTTATTCTGGCCCTGGTATGATGATTGCACCCTGTGAAAGAAATTACTGTAGGAACCTCTCCCTTTGTGATTATGGGTACAGACGTCTGTCTGCGGCAGGTCCTGTTCTCCTTGATACTTCCCTTGTTTTTCCTTCCCAGATAGCAGTGTCCTTTCTAGATGGATTGCATAATTTTTCTAGTAATGTAGCTTCCTTTTTTTAAAAATAAATATTGGTAATATCCTTAGAGCCACGTTAATTGTCCTTTGTCTCTTTCTAGTCTTTTTAAAATATATAATAAAAAAGGGGGATATGCTGGGAGCTGCACCGGCCTCTCTGGATGGCAGTCACAGCAAGGAAATGGCAGTGTTTGAGCAGCTCATGCCATGAGAAACAAAAACTGGTATCTCCTTCTGCTACTACTGGCTCATGTTGGAAATGAGCCTGCTGGTATTGACCAGGCCTCACAATATACCATATCAGACCCATATTCAGAACACAGATACCACATAAGGAAAAAAATATTCCAGCCTTTACAAAAGAGATTTTAGATAAAAGACAGAATGATTCCTAGCTTATCTATATACACCTTAACCTAGATATTATCCTGTTTTTCACTAAGAGCATCCTGTTATTTCCTTGGTTGTGAATTCACTCAACCTCACTATGACTGGGATAATTCTGCAGAATATCAAAAACTTATCGCAAAAGTCTTTCCATTGTAAAAATTCCTTTCTCTGACCTCATGTTGTTCTTGAACCTTTAAATAAAGACACCAAAACCGACAGGATGGAGATGCCTGCCTGGTGATCAGAAAGGATCTCGGGACTCTCTCACTCTCTCTCTCTCGCTGACACCGTCCATTCTTCAGGGACTCCTGGACCAGCCGGAGCTGGCCTCCAGCATTTGAGTTTTGCAAAGTCGAATGATATCAATTCATTGAATTTCTAAGTCATTTCCAAATAGAACATGAATCACTAAGCATAGATTTGCCTATTTTGTCTTATTACAGAGAAACTAAAGATAAATTTGACTCGGTTAGGAAACATGTCTTGTGCCATGTGAAGAGCTTCTATGACAAAGAAGCATATGCTTCGAGAAATTATAAAATGTATCCCCAAATTTGCCAATCTAAAGAATATTGGTGTTAAGGATTCGCTCGTTTTCACAAGAAAGTAAGGTTTCTAAGGGTTAAGAGTTCTAATTAAGGTACATAATTAAAGCTATCAGAAATAATAAAGGAAGAAGAAGTGTGTCTGGGTGGCTCAGTCTATTAAAGATCTGACTCTTGATTTCAGCGGGGGTTATGATCTCATGGTTTGTGAGTTTGAGCTCCACTTTGGGTTCTGCGCTGACAGCATGGAGCCTGCTTGGGATTCTCTCTCTCCCCCCTTTTCTCTCTCTGTCCCTCCCCCACTCTCTTTTTTTCCTCTCTTTCTCTCAAGAAAGAAAGAAAGAAAAAGAAAGAAAGAAAGAAAGAAAGAAAGAAAGAAAGAAAGAAAGAAAGAAAGAAAGAATAAGGAAGCAACCCTGTACCCAAGGAATGTAGAATGTGTTTTGGGGTAAGAAAAGATATGAGATATGATGATACATTTTGGCTAAGGAAAAAGAAAGTAAATTTGTTATCCGGGTCATAACTACTTTTTTGGTGGATTTGATTATAGTCAGTATTATGATTTCTTGGGTAAAATTATGCATTTTGGAGTCAAGCAGGTATGTGTTTGCATCCTAATTCTCTCACTTCTGACTTTTGACAAATTACTTCTCCCTGAGCCTAAAATGGCAACAATAGTATCTACCTCTGAGGGTTGTCATGACAGTCAAATGCATTAATATAATAAAATCTCTTAGCACAGTCTTCTGCCCATACAAAGTGCTCATTAAATGCCAACATTTTTACTTCTCACATCCGAGATTTCAGTGCCTAATGTGGGCTTTCCTTTCTGGGTGTTGCTGCGACAGACATGCTACCCAGGAAATGAGTGACATAGTCCCCCTCCTTCTAAGAGCTCACATTCTGTAACAGCACGCCCTGGGAGTCCTTGCTGGACTGCTCACAAGCACTTCCGGAGCACTTACGTCAAGGCCAGGGTTTCTCAGCCTAAGCACTCCTGGCATTTGGGACCGGGTAATTCTGTGTTGTGGGCAGCCATCCTGTGCAGTGTAGACGCTTTAGCACCATCCCTGGCCTCCATCCACTAGGTATCTATAGTACACACTGACCCCCAATTGTGACAACCGAAAGTGTGTCCAGACATTGCCAGATATCCCTGGGTGGCAAAAATTGCCTCCAGTTGAAAACCACTGGATTCAACAATAGTTTTGTTTTGTTTTCCCTATTTCTTACTGTCTTGTCCTTTAAACCCACTCTAGGGCAATGGCATATACCAAGGGGTGGGAGTGGTCCCCCATCTCCCATGCAGAAGGAGTGTTTTATCCCTGACTTTGTCCAAGATTGCCAGCACAAGGGTAATAAAAAGCAGATCAACTGCTATTGGTTTATTATTGTGTTTACCTTCTCTGCAGACAATGTACCTTGTTGGGAGCTGCACCGGCCTCACTGGATGACAGTCACAGCGAGGAAATGACAGTGTTTGCACAGCTCCTGCCATGAGAAATGAAAACTGGTATCTCCTTTTCCTACTACTGGCTTATGTTGGAAATGAGCCTGCTGGTCTTGACCAGGCCTCACAATATTCCAAATCAGACCAATATTCCCCACACAGATACCTCATAAGGAAAAGCATATTCCCGCCTTTTCAAAAGAGATTTTAGATGAAAGCTCTGTGGATGATTGTCAAAAGTCTCTTCCTATGGGCCTTGCAGTTCAAGGCTTAGATCATAAAGAGGGTTAAGAACATAGGAGTTACAATTGAGCCTGGCCCCAAGACAAAGAGCCCAATTTACAGTTAAGGAATAGATAAGGGCAGAACTTAAGTTAATACTTACACCTTTTCTAACTGGCGATATATGGCAGTCCCTTCCCTAAGGCCTACTTTCCGCAAACACCCTCCCTTACACTGGCAGCTGGGATGAGGATAGATAAAGAGTAGCTAAAACATAACCCAAAAACAAAGGCCGACACATTTAGGGCCTCCATGGTGTTTACACATTCAGCATCAAGTCAAAAAGGTTTCCACAAACAACCAGTTTAAAAACATTCGTCTTCTTGTGAGCCAGACAGAAGACTCCTGGCCTATCTATACACAACTTAACCTATGTCCTAATCCTAGCATTATTAACTTAGAACAAATGTGTATGTCATCCTGTTTTTCACCAAGAACATCCTGTTATTTCCTTAGTTGTAAGATTTACTCAACCTCACTATGAATGGGGTAATTCTGCAAGAATACTTCCGAAAAACCTGTTCTTGTGCACTTTTCAAAGTATCTTATCACAAAGAGCTTTCCATTGTAAAAATTCCTTTTTCTGATCTCATGTTGTCATTGGACCTTTAAATAAAGACACCAAACCCGACAGGACAGAGATGCCTGCCTGGTGATTGGAAAGAATCTTGGGGCTCTCTCATTCTCTCTCTCGCTGACACTGTCCATCCTTCAGGGACCCCTGGACCTGGCCGGAGTCAGCCTCCGGCAGTATCCCTTTTACTGTAGCACCCAGTGTCCCCTTGGTATGCCTTTCTTCCCCTGCCCCTGTCACTCTTATGTAACAAAAACACCCTGCTGTCCCCTTAAATCACCGCACATACTCCAATATGTCAAGTCTTAAGAACCTGACCAAAAAATAAATTATTTCAGTCTGAGCCAGGTGCAGACTAGACCTCCAAAAAGGGGCATAGGGCAAGATTGGCTACTTCTATTTCCTGATGTATTTGCTTCCTAGAGCTGCCATAAATGAAGGGCCACAGACTGAGTGGCTTAAACAGAAGAAATGTATAATTGCACAGCCTCGAGGCTAGAATTCTGCCTGAGATCTAGGGGTCGGCAGGCTGGTTCCTTCTGAGGACTGTGACAGAGATCTGTTCCAGGTCTCTCCCCTAGCTTCTGGGGAGTTGCTGGCTGTCTTTGGTGTTGTGTGGCTGGTAGATGCATCACTCCATCTTTTCTTCATCTTCACGAGATGAAGAAGATGTCTGTGTGTCTGTCTCTGTGTTCAAATTCTCTCTTTTTATAAGGATCTTACCCTAATGACTGCATTTTAACTTGATTGCTTCTATAAATACCTTATTTCCAAATATGGTTATATTATGAGGCATTGAAGATTAGAGTGTTAACATATCATTTTACCGGGAAGACACAATTCAATCTGTAACACCTGCCTAAGTGGCTATCACTATTCTTCCATCAGTAGGATGAACATGTAATTTATCATCCAAGATGAGACACTTTTAAAAATGAAAGAGGGTGCTGTTGATAATTATACCAGGACTTCAGATGTAAATCAGAACTGTCCTGGTCAAACTGAGCCACATGGCTTCCCAACCCATGAAGTATCAGATCTAATGGAGGTGGAGAGAGGGGTATGTGAGCCAGAAAGTATTGACTCAACCATCATTGCTATGATAGATGCTGGCACTTTCTGGGTGTGGCTGGTGTTCCACGCCGACTTACTCTCAGGGAACACTGACAGTATCTCACCAATTCACTGGTTTGGGGCCAACGCATCTCTACTGCAGCAGATGGCTTGAGGATTCCTTCCTTTAGAATCGGAGTAGCCAAGAGTCTACAATTTGCTGAGGTCTCCTCATACCATGAGGAAGCATCCATGGATGAAACTTAGATAACAGAGACAGGAGTCCACTGCCTCCCCCAGCTTCTCCAAGGGGTTCATTTAAAACCCCTTTCCCTAGCTTTAAGATGAGGAGTAGGTACCCCCCACAAACTCCCTCACAGGGGGTGAGGGTGGAGGAAGAGCCACACTCAGAACCTTTTTCTCTGAACACTGTCTTTTCCTTTAATTTCCCTCTTTGGGCCCTTTTACTTACCCTCTTTGGGGTGAAAGGCTCAGCATCTTAAAGCCATCCCTTTTACAAGTCCTGTGAGGTGGTCTCACGCATCACGCTGACTTGTGACATCTAAATTTTTGGCACTTCAGGGGCGCCTAGGTGGCTCAGTGGGTTAAGGGTCTGACTTTGGCTCAGGTCATGATCTCACAGTCAGCGTATTCCCGCCCCGTGTCCGGCTCTATACTGACAGTGAGGAACTTGAGCCTGCTTCAGATTCTGTGTCTCCCTCTCTCTCTCTCCACCCCTTCCCCCCCCCCGCAAAAATAAAAATAAACGTTAAAAGATGTTTATTTAAATGTTAGCACTTCAGCCAGAAGCAGAACAAAATGGTTTGCTCGAAACCACCTTTTACCCCTGACTTGCGCAGGGATTGTCTCATCAGCCCGGCACCCCCAGCGTCTAGCTCCAGGTCTGACATCTGGTATGGAGGTCTGTAAGCGGTTCCCAACGAATGAAGTAACCGCCAGTTTACATTCATCTCAGCACTGTGATCTCTCTCCCCTTGACAGTGTTTCAGTTTGGTTTTATTAAACCCCGAAATCAACCTTTGATAATGAAATAAAGAGACGAGGGTAGAAAAATGAGATATACGTGAACTTCTGCCTAGCCTCGGAAGGGAGGCCTCTCATTTCCGCAGGTTGGCCGGCGCCGGCGGCGAGCGGGCGGAAGGGATGCGCCCCCCGCCGCGAGGCTTCCCACGGCCCCCGAGCCGGCGCCGCAGCCTTTAGCTCCAGCTGGCGGCGGCAGCGCGCACTGCAGGGGCTCCTCCTGGCCGCGAGGAGCAGAAGCGGCGCTCTGACGCGCAGCGGGAGCGTCTGGGAGGCTGGGAAAGGTTTTCATCCGCTGCCAAGCCAAGTTCAAAGGCGGCCTGCGAGCTTTCAGCATAGGCACGTCCGTCCAAAATACCCTAGGCGTTGACCAGGCCTAGGCAGGTGGTCTGCTCTGCGCGTGTTCCGGGGAGAACTGAATCAGGGCATCCAAAGAAAACTTTGTTAATAACACCGGGTTCTACACACTGCTCTGGGGCCAAAAATATGCTATGGAACAGAAGCACTGAAGTAGATTTAATATCTATTTTTTAAATGTTTTTTTTTAAAATTTATTTCTAGGAGAGAGAGAGAGAGAGACAGCGTGAGCAGGGGAGGGTCAGAGAGAGAGGGAGTCACAGACTGAAACAGGCTCCAGGCTCTGAGCTGGCAGTCAGCACAGAGCCCGACGCGGGGCCCGAACCCGCGAACCGCGAGATCATGACCTAAGCGAAAGTCGGACGCCTAACCGACTAAGCCACCCAGGCGCCCCTTAATATCTGTTTTTTTAAAAGTTCATTATTATTTTACTTGTTGCTTGTAGGGAGAGATAAAGGCAGTAGGGAAAATAAATTTTGGCGTGAGAGGTATTTTTAATAAAATAATTTACATAATATATATCCGAAGTAATGTCTGATTGCTGTAAAATACTTCCAACAACTCAGATGTGGGAAATATAATCACCATCCCTTTCCTCATCACCCCCCCTACCCCCACCCAGCTTCACTTCCTAGAGGTAATTGCTCTTGACAGTTTGGTTAGTTTTCTTTAGTAATAGTAGTAGTAGTATCAATAATAATAATCATAATAGCAAAAAATGGACCAAGAACTCATTTCTGTTGTCAGGCCCCGTGCTAAACGCTTCACCGAGACTGACTGAATCCTCATATCCTTTCTACGTCATGAATACTTTCGGTACTCTTGCTTACAGATGTAAAAACCAAGGCTTAGAGAAGGGAGGTAACTTACCTGAGATCACTCAGCTTTCTGCATATTTTCCACATGTGTTTACAAATACCTATTATGTGGATACATATATATGGGCTAATGTATATTTTCTATTATATAACATGCTTTCATGGAACTTGACTTTTTTGCACTGAACCTATTATGCACTTTTATACCGGGATTTATGACTCTGCCTCCTTCCACTGAGCAAGACAATCAATCTCTCTAAATCTCAGTTTCCCTGTTATTATCAGCACAAATGTTAACTCGTGTATGTGAAATACGTGGCTGGCCCATAATAGGTCCTCAAGAAATTACAACTATTAATATAATGATTAGCATTACTAGTTAATGTTCAGGTGGACCACCATTAAAGGAGGCATTTTTTGTTTGTTTAATTCAATGTGATCATCCTGATGCAACTAAAATCCAGCAAATTTAAATGACCTGACAGTTCATTCTGGGTATTTTGCCTGAAGGGTTTGGTTGCTGTGGGTTCAGGAAGAAAAGGGGATAAAAATACACAGCTGGGAATGAATGTTTAAGGGACTGTTGAATGAAGCTCAGAGAAGCAAACGAAAAATGCAAAACAAGCAAAATCTCAGGAAAAAAACTCTGACAACAGGAGATCAAGGCTGAAGGCTCTCCCCTCTCCCAAATCCCTCTGGTTACTTGAGATCAGCTTCTGGGTCTGGGTGAGGTCTGCTCAGAGCCCACCACCTCGTGAGCCTTTAATGGAAGCCTCTCTCACAGAGCTCAGATACCAACCTAGAATAATGTGAACACACTTTTTTTTTGTCCTATCTTTAGTGTACCCTTCTTTCATGAAATAGTAAATTGCAGTTGACTTCAAGCAGAGGTTGCAAATTAAAACCACTGATTTTTAAGTTCCAAAGGAGGTTACCATTGTTACAAGGGGTAGAGAGGGATTCTGGAAGCTACTGATTCCAGGTAGAAGATAGATTTGATATCTCCTGCTAATTTCTTCTTGCTTCTGCTGAAACGAAACAATAAATTAAGGATGCTTTGAAATTGTAGTTTCACTCAGCAAACATTTATTGAGCACTTGCTATGTTTCAGACATTATTATGGGCAATGAGATATCAGGGAATAAAACAGAAAAAATGAAGACTCTCTTGGAGTGTCCTTTCTAGTGATCTGAATTTCCAGTAGGCCAGGAAAACCACAATTCCTGATCTGTTTTCAGTAACACAATATCCCATCCATGGCATACATAGTAATTTAATAAAAACAGTAATTCCTTATGCTTATTTAACCAATCTGAGTTGCCTCATGATCCTCAGGTTAGTAGTGATTTTATGTCTTCATTTTAGAAATTGAATTAGGACCAGCTCCCAGCCTTACATATCAAGATTAAAAAGGGGTCTGGGGGTGCCTGGGTGGCTCAGTGGTTGAGTGTCCCACTTTTGATTTTGACTTAGGTCATGATCCCGAAGGGTCATTGGGTGTGGAGCATGCTTAAGATTCTCTCCCTTTGCCTCCCTCCACTGCTCGCTTGAGCTCTCTCTTTCTCTCTCTCTCTCTCGCTCTCACTCTAAAAATGAATTTAGAAAGTGAGTCTGGCATCTCTCTTGTGGTATTGTCTCCACTGTGGCATGTCAGGATTCCATAAGGGACCTCAGAGTTGAAGGAGGTCTGCTGGAATGCCAATAGGAAGCTTCCTGAATTCTCAGTCCAGACTTTACCCAGTATGCTAATGTTCCAAACTACCATTTGATATTATTGTCAGAAATGAGTCACCTGCTACAGTTGTGACCTAAGATATTAAATTGTGTTACATGGGCACCAACCAATCAGAAGACAAGCTAGCTGTAATGCCACTGTAGGATTCTAGAACCCCCACCATGCTTGGCATTAGCCTTTGATCACTAGATCATGGACACAGGTGGGGAGGTGGGGGGGTGGGAGGGGAGGGAGCCAAGTGAGAGGGGTCAGGTGGAGGGAACACTTGAGGGGAAGGGGGATTAAGCAACAGCTACTAACCAACCATTACAAAAGTATTTCATTGTGTTGACTCCTCATATAGCCATACCTGTACATATAGCTAAATGGCTTGCTCATGACTTGTCTGTCAAGTGGGGCTGCTTGCCGTGGGAGTGCATTCTTGCCTGTCAATTTCACGCCATAGACAGTGAGTCCTTTGAAGAAAGGGAATCATGTCTGTTCTTTTCCTTGATGCCAACCTTGACCTAATGGGCCCTTTAGTACACTATAATATTTGAGCCCAGTTCTTACCAACATCCTCCCATGAGGTAATCCCTCCTTAAAAGGGTTGCCTCTGTGTAGACTCAGCAGGAATTTGCTGATTTCACTCTCCTTTCTAGGCAATATCATTGGCCCCACCACAAAAACCCTTGACACACAGATTGTGCATGTGCCGTACACACACACACACACACACACACACACATGCTACATGTATTACAGGGGTTCTAAAACTTCAGTGTGCATAAGGAGCACCTGAGGAAACTTCAGATGCAGATTTCCAGGGATTTCCTGCCACACCCCTAGAGTTTCTAATTAATTAGGTACTGAGTGGGACAGATTTTTGTATTTTAAACAAAATGTCCTCTCAACGGGTAGATCTTGATGCAGATTGTCAGACAGAAACAAACACCAGTTGGTCACTAGCAAGCACTTTAGCTCCATTCATAAATCACTTTGTGTTTTGCAAAGCAATGGCAGATGTGTTGCCCTTTCCAAAGCCCTAATACTGAACAGAGAAGTAAATTATAAACTCTGACTTGGGTTATGTCTCATTCTATTAGTCTGTTTCTTCAAGTCATCTGTGGCGAATATGCCCAGAGATTTATTATGAGACTGGAGGTTAGCGCAAGGATACAATGAAACTAGAAGTGCATTTCCCTATAATCTCTCTACCTCATGCTCCTTAGATTGATGTTAATGGAGACTTGAGGTGCAGGAGATAGCCTGATTCAAGTACCCATCCTTACGTTTATGCATTTAAGACATATATTTCCTACAAAAGAGGTTATAATTTGTCAGCTTGTCACCACACAAAGTAGAATGCCTCTTCTGGACAGTTTCATGCCCCACACAGCCTCAGAGGGTTGAGTTGCTTATGTTCTGACGATTTTGGCACCATTTCTGATCTGATGAGACATGGCTTGAGATGTGAGTTAATTTTTCAAGTTATATGACAACTCTTGGAAGAAAGCCTCTTACAGGAATATTTTCCTCAGCAAGAGCTAAGAACAAGGCAGTCTTTCAGAGGTTCTTGGAGGCCTCTTGACTTTTCTAGCTGTTCTCCCACTGACTGGGGGCGTGTGGTATATACATAAATGGAATGCTGTTCAGCTTTTATTTTATTTATGGTAAGTTTATTTATTTATTTAAGTAATCTCAATACCCAACATGGATCTCTAACTCACAACCCTGAGATTGAGTCGCATGCTCTTCAAACCAAGCCAGCCAGATGCCCCCTATTCCACCATTAAAGAGAAGGGAATCCTTCCCATAGGTGACAGCATTGGATGAAGCTGGAGGACATTACACTAAGTGAAATAACCAGTCACAGACACACAAGCACTACACGATCCCACTTATGTGAGGCATCTAAAACAAGTCAAATTCAGAACATCAGAGATTGGAATAGTGGTTACCAGGGGATGGGGGATGGGTAAATGGGGACTTATGTATCAATAGTCATTAAGGTTCAGGTAAGTAAGATGAATAAACTCTAGAGACCTATAGTATAACATTGTACCACAGTAATGCATTATTGACTTAAAATTTGCTAAAAGGAAAGGAGACTTTTCATACCTGAACTTTGCTCTCCATCATGTTGATTGTTTCTTTATCTCAATTCTCAGCCAGGAACTTCAAAATTCATTACTTGTGATTGACCAAAAAGTCTCTTCCTTACATTATTTCATTCCCTTCTTCTGTTCAGATTTTTTCTTCCATTTTGAAAACATGTGTGTGTGTGTGTGTGTGTGTGTGTGTGTGTGTTACTTTTTAAAGTATTCTGGTCAAAGGGCGCCTGGGTGGCTTAGTCGGTTAAGCATCCGACTTTCGCTTAGGTCATGATCTCGCGGTTCGTGGGTTCGGGCCCCGCGTTGGGCTCTGTGCTGACTGCCGGCTCAGAGACTGGAGCCTGTTTCAGTCTGTGACTCCCTCTCTCTCTGACCCTCCCCTGCTCATCCTGTCTCTCTCTCTATCTCCTAG